GGCTCAAGTTGGGACGGAGGGTGATTGGGCCATGTGATGGATTGATGGATGCAGGGGCTGGATATGGGGTTTTGATTTATTGAGGGGGAAACCCGGAACTCTCAGATTCGGGTTTTCCCAGATGTGCCAGTATACCTACTTCTAATAAATGAAGGATTTGAGATGAAGCTTGTCTCGGAGTCTTTAATTGGAGTTGGGTTGTTCTGAAACGCTGACACTTCTTGCTCTCGCAAGCAGTTGGAAGTCAGGACAGGCTGCTGGCTGAATTTTTGGAAATGCAGCTAAAATTGGGTGAACATAGCTGAGAAAGATCCCACCAGAAGACAGAGGAGGAGGAGAAACAACTAAAGCAGAACCTTTTGCATACTAAAAGAGCCTTGGTGGAGCAGTGGACTAAAGTGCTGTTAAGTAGCACCAGCTGCCTGCAATTACTACGAGTTCAAATCTCACCAGGCTCAAGGTTGACTCAGCCTTCCATCCTTCTGAGGGAGGTAAATTGAGGACCCAGATTGTGGGGGCAATAAGCTGACTTTGTATAAAAAATAGAACACCGCTTTGTGGGGGGGGGGGCGAAAGCCCTACTAAGCAGGTATATACAAAAGTATGAAGGCTATTGCTTAATGCATTGTAAGCCGCCCTGAGTCTCCGGAGAAGGAGAAAGATTTTTATATATATATAAAAATATATGTATATATGTATATATGTATTTGTTTATGTATATATGTATATATGTATATATGTATATATGTATATATGTATAAATAAATAAATAAATAAATAAATAAATAAATAAATAAATAAGTATTGTATTGCTGTAAGCAGGCATTCGACCTAAAAAAAAAATGGCCACTCTTGGTTTTCCACTCACTTTTTCTTTTTTTACGAAGAATTGAAAATGTGCAAAATATATATATAAAAACACCCCACCACGATTGACTTGTGTGTTTGCCCCAGGTCAAATAAATAAATAAATAAAAATGCTGTCTTTTTCCACCCAGGAATTTAAAAAAATCTTTGCAAGCTGTATTTTTCACATCCTGCCTTCGCTCTTCCAGAACTGTAAAGCTGCGGCAAGTGTGCAACCGATACGCACAAGCACATCCCCGCAAAAAAAAAAAGAAGAAAAAAAAGAGAGGAAAAGCTGTTCCAGGAATGCCACTGCTACATGCACAACACACACAGACACACACACACAGAGGGAAGCACACGGTTTTTCCTCCCCATCCGACTCCTGCTCCCGCTCAGTTTAATTACCACTAATGTAAACTCTGCTCCATAATAAAAGAAACCTTGGCACGCTGCCTCGGAGAACTGATCAGTCCCATAAATTCACTGCAAAGAGCTGAAACGCCACTGAGGCGTTTGTGTGTGTGTGTGTGTGTGTGTGTTTTCCTCTTCTGCTTACCCCCACCGGCCTCCTCTTCTTGATTTAAAAAAAAAAAAACCTGGGTATTTGCTCAAGGGCGAAAGCTTTTTAAACAGGATCATAAATGCTTATTACACAGGCGATGCGCTGCCTTGATGGGATTAGCTGGAGGAAAAATTGATCATCGGGAGGGGGGGGTCCTCTCTCTCTCTCTCTCCCTCCCTCTCTCACCCCCCCCTTAACAAAGAGCAGAGGGAGGGAGGGAATCCTTAAAACGACCTATCTGGCCATTGAGATATTAAAGTCCCGGGAAGGGGCATTTTGCAGATGGGGCCCTAAGAAGAAAGAACTCTGTCCAAAGGAGAAAGGGAGGCAGGATGCAAAAATGGTTAGAGTCCCCAGGCGTGGCTCGATGGGTGGGCAAGAGGGACCCCTTGGCAAAGGATAGCCAAGGAGCCAGGCACCCCGACTTTCAGGCAAAAAGCTGGCTGCATCCAAAGTTGCCAGAAAAGGGGGGAAGTTGGATTATTTCCCAAATTGCCAGTCCGTAAAGATTCTTTAATTCAGTGTTTTCTAAACTTTAGCTATGTTAACATATGTGGACTTCAACTCCCAGAATTCCCCAGCCAGCTATGCTGGCTGGGGAATTCTGGGAATTGAAGTCCAGACATCTTAAAGTTGCAGAGGGTTGAGAAACACTGCGTTAATTAGTCCTTTTAATTAGCTCTGATTGATCAGGGGCTCCCGATCCAATTAACACCCCAAATCCCAGCCTGGCTGTGCCAAACAACTGAACGGCGGGCCTCTTTGGAGTGGGATCCTTTTGGGAGCAGCCACTGTTCCCTTTCTTAGCAAGATTGTGCCCCGTTTAAGTTAACGATGCTACCAAATTTAGGAGGAGCGTGGCAGCTCCTTTCTAACTGAGAAACGGTAGTGAAATGGATGCGTAGGTTTTGGGGAACTGCACTGAATTCTTCAGAGGCGTGGAGCGGATAGACAGATGTAGGGGGAAGGAAGGAAGGAAGGAAGGAAGGAAGGAAGGAAGGAAGGAAGGACATGAAGAAAGAGTAAGAGAAAGGAAGGAAGAAGAAGAGAGGGAGGGGTGGAGGAAGAGAAAGACAAAGGCAGGGAAGGATGAAGGAAGGAGAGAGAAGAGGAAAAGGAAGAAAGGGTAAGAGAAAAGGAAGAAGAGACAGAGGAAGACAAGGAGGGGAAGGATGGAGGGAAGGAGAACAGGAAGAGAGAGTAAGAGAAAGGAAGAAAGGGGAATAAGAAGAGGAAGAGTGGAAGGAAGGAAGGAAGGAAGGAAGGAAGGATAAAGGGAGTGAGGGAGGAAGGAAGGAGAGAGAAGGGGAACAGGAAGAAAGGATAAGAGAAAGGAAGAAAGGGTAAGAAGAAGAGGAAGAGAGGAAGGAAGGGACAAAGAGAGTGAGTGAGGAGGGAAGGAAGGAGAAAGAAGGGGAAAAGGAAGAAAGGGTAAGAAAAAAGGGAGAAGAAGAGACAGAGGAAGACAGAGGGAGGGAGGGAGGGAGGAGAGAGAAGGGGAAGAGAAAGAAAGGGTAAGAGAAAGGAAGAAAGAGGAAAAGGAAGAGAGGAAGGAAGGAAGGGATTGAGTGAGGAAGGAAGGAAGGAGAGAGAAGGAGAACAGGAAGAAAGGGTAAGAGAAAAAGAAGAGGAAGAGGGAGGGAGGAAGAGAGGAAGGAAGGAGAAGGGGGACAGGATGGAAGGGGAAGAGGAAGAGGGGAAGAAGAAGAGGAAGAGTGGAAGGAAGGGAGGGAGGAAGGGAGGAAGGAAGAAAGTTAGGAAGGAGAGAGAAGGGGAACAGGAAGAAAGGGTAAGAACAAAAGAAGAGGAAGAGGGAGCAAGCAAGGGAGGGAGGAAGAGAGGAAGGAAGGAGAACAAGATGAAAGGGGAAGAGGAAGAGGGAGAGGGAGGGAGAGGAGGTTGACTATGCAGACCACATGCCAGACAGATAACAAGCATCTAATCAATTAACGAATTCTAATGTGTTAAAAACCTGCAGTGTTGACTTAAGACTCTCGGAGTTGGCTAGTTTAACATTCTTAGATCAGCAGTTACCAAGGTGTATTTCCATGCGGGCAAACGGGGATCCAGCATCTCTCCAAAACCAAGTGCTGGAGTTCTGTGGTGTTTATAACCAGAATCCCCCAATTATCAAAGCACCCCAGAATCAAGAGAGGGTCTCCCCAAGGCGGACAGGAGCCCATCTTCGCTGGATTTGCAAAAGGATTTGATTTCGTAAAAGCAGCACTTCCCCGCCAAACCTCCCGTTTCCACAACCCTGGAAAGCAAATGCAACCCAGACTCTCTCTATACAATTGGATTTAAAATCGCTCAATTTAGCTGCCATGAAGGAGTGCATTAGACCAGAGGAAAAATTCCACTTAATATGGGGAAATTTTCCTGAAATGATATTTAGAGCAATCACTGCCAAACCACCGTTGGGTTTTTCATAGCCCCAAGACAGGTAGGTGTGTGTGTGTGTGTGTTTTTAAGGTAACCTCTTCTATAGTTCATTTTCACTTAATCCTTTTGTTCATATTAACAATGCCTTGTCTTTAAATTAAAGGAAAGGAGGGAGGGAGGAGGGGGAAACCTTGCAGAGGGCGTAAGGGGCAGGGATTCACGGTTGACACAGCATTGAAAAGCAAATAAACTTTTCAAGATGAATAAGGATGCCAATTTTTTAAAGACACAAATGTCTCTTGTTCTCTTAACTAATTCCAAGAAGAGAAGTTAGAACGGAAGAGAAGAGAAGAGAAGAGAAGAGAAGAGAAGAGAAGAGAAGAGAAGAGAAGAGAAGAGAGAATGGAAGAGAAGAGAAGAGAGAATGGAAGAGAAGAGAAGAGAAGAGGAGAGGAGAGAAGAGAAGAGAAGAGAGAGAAGAGAAGAGAAGAGAAGAGAAGAGAAGAGAAGAGAAGAGAAGAGAAGAGAGAATGGAAGAGAAGAGAAGAGAGAATGGAAGAGAAGAGAAGAGAAGAGAAGAGAAGAGAGAAGAGAAGAGAAGAGAAGAGAAGAAAGAATGGAAGAGAAGAGAAGAGAGAATGGAAGAGAAGAGAAGAGAAGAGGAGAGGAGAGAAGAGAAGAGAAGAGAAAGAGAAGAGAAGAGAGAGAAGAGAAGAGAAGAGAAGAGAAGAGAAGAGAAGAGAGAAAATGGAAGAGAAGAGAAGAGAGAAAGAGAAGAGAAGAGAAGAGAAGAGAAGAGAAGAGAAGAGAAGAGAAGAGAAGAGAAGAGAAGAGAAGAGAAGAGAAATGACAGAGTTGGAAGGGACCTTGGAAGTCTTCTAATCCAGAGATCTCTATCTCTGGTCCGTGGACCGGTACCAGGCCGTGGCATACCAGAAACCAGTCCACCAAACAAGCAAAGCCCCATCCATGGGATGCAGGCAGCATGCAAAACGACGCCCCCTCCGGTCCACGGAAGAACCACTCTCCATGAAACCGGTCCCTGGTACCCCAAAGGTTGGGAGGGGGGGGTGATGTTTTAATCCAACCCCCTGCTCAAGGAGGAAACCCTATACGATTTCAGACCAGTGGCTGTCAAACCTCTTCCCAGGTAGTTCACCGATTCTGCGCTTTGCAGATTTCCCACTTTCCCCTTCTTCCAACATACCTGAAGTTCGGGGCAGAGGCCCACTCGAGCGCCAGGCAGGCCAAATCCACCGTAGCGTAAACCAGTAGGAAGAAGATGGTGACCACTGCAGCTATGGTGTTCAGCTTCCCGGAAAACAGGACCAGCTGCGGAAAACAGACCACGAGAATCAAAAACCGTGGCAGCCACTCACCGGACGTCAGCCCCGCCCCTTTTCTTGTGGTACATACCCAGAATCCCCCCGTCGGCAGGCGGGATTCTGGGAATTGAAACTCAACGCATCTTCCCGAGGGTTGGAGATTGCTACAAAGCAAGAATTCTTGATTCTGCAGGGATCTTCTTATCCCTAAATTCAGCAAGTCGGATTTCACCACCGGGACAGTCCCCAAGGGTTTAAAAAAAGGGCACAGAGTGAGACAGAAAACTAAAAAATCAAAAGCCATTCCCAATCCAGTTTTACGCCCATTTCTAAAAACCGTTGTGCCGAACAGGTTCTGTTCAGACAAAAGGTTTGTCTGTTTAAGTGCAAAAAAACAAACAAACAAAAAAAAAAACAATAACCACAAAAACAAAAACAGGACTATTTTAAAAAATGCTATTTTGAATAAAAAAACAAAAGAAAGAAAAGTCTCAGATTTTACTCGGTTGAGCATCGATCCAGATTCCCTGATGTTATTCTGCTTTTTTTTTTAATAAAAAAAACAACCAAATGACAACTCCTATTTTAATTACTATTTTTGAACGCTCTCTAGCGAGCTCAAAAATGCATTTAGATGTAGATATATATTTTGAACAGAAAACTTTGTCATTATGGTAATGGTGCTTTTTTTTTTAAAAAAAAAAATGAAAATAAAGCGATAACTACCTTCTCGTCTGTTTTTTAGTATTTAGGAGCTGTTGATCTATTATATCTGTATATGCTAGACGCATCACAAAACTATGCCATGGTTTTCTTTTAACCATAGCTTCTTCAACAAGCTACAATCAGTCGTAAACTGCAGTTTACTTAAACCATGCTTATGAATTATGCTAAACCAAATCCAGACACAGAATATTATAATTTAGCCCATAAATTCATCAAAGGCATATACTTAACTCCAAAAAAACTCCAGTGTGGTGTAGTGGTTAGAGTACCGGACCAGGAGTGGAGAGGTTTAAATCCCAATTCAGCTCTGCAAACGATTGGGCCAGTCCTTGTCTCAACAAAAGCCTACCTCAAAAGGTTGTCGTTTGGGGGAAAATACCACACTTGATATTTCTAGAACAAGGGTGTCAAACTGGCAGCCCGCGGGCCAGATGCATCACACATAGGCCACAGCCACCTCAGCTCCATGAAGGGAAAAAAATATCACGAAATGTCACATGATGGAAACATGATGCCGCGAGTTTGACAGCCATGTTCTAGAGCAGGGGAGTCAAACTTGATTTCATTGAGGGTGGTGTTTGACTTCGGGGGGCGGGAGGGGGGGTACGGCCAGGGTGGGCATGGCCAGCTCAATGTCACTCATGTCGGGGGTGCCTGTTTTTTTTATTTTTTTGTTTTTTTTTATTTTAATTTATATACCGCCCTACTCCCGAAGGACTCAGGGCAGTGAACAGGCACAGGATAAAACACATAGAATACAAAAATTTAAGAGCAGAAGTAAAATCGAATTAAATCAATTTAGCCCAAGACAAATTTAAAACCCCAGGTTAAGAACAAATTAAAATTTACATTAAAAAGAGAATGGGAGAGGTTAGGCCAGACCAGCTTGGTGAAATAAAAAGGTCTTAAGAGCGCGGCGGAAGGTGCGTAGATCCGGGATCCTCCGTATCTCCCGGGGGAGCTCGTTCCAGATAGTAGGTGCCCCCACACAGAAGGCTCTCCCCCTGGGGGCCGCCAGCCGATATTGTTTGGCCGACGGCACCCGGAGGAGTCCCTCTCTGTGAGAGCGTACTGGCCTGTGGGACCGGTACACCACAGGTGTACCGGCCTGTGGTGGCCCGAGCTCTCTGTCAGCGAAAACAGGCTCCCGAGCTCCATTACAGGAGGCCGTGACAGCCGAAAACGGAGCTCGGGAGCAAAAGCACCGCAGTCCAGTTATTTGCTCTTTCGAGGGCGACCCCACAGGCCAGATCTAAGTACCCCATGGACTGGATCTGGCCCCCGGGCCTTGAGTTTGACACTCCTGTTCTAGAGCAAGGGGTCTCCAAACTTGGCAACTTTTAAGTCTTGTGGACTTCAACTCCCAGGATTCCTCAGGCAGCATGGACTGTTTGTGGATTTCATCTCCCAGGATTCCTCTGGCAGCATGGACCACTTGTGGACTTCAACTCCCAGGATTCCTCTGGCAGCATGGACCGCTTGTGGACTTCAACTCCCAGAATTCCTCTGGCAGTATGGACCGCTTGTGGACTTCAACTCCCAGAATTCCTCTGGCAGCATGGACCGCTTGTGGACTTCAACTCCCAGAATTCTTCTGGTAGCATGAACCACTTGTGGACTTCAACTCCCAGAATTCCTCTGGTAGCATGGACCGCTTGTGGACTTCAACTCCCAGAATTCCTCTGGTAGCATGAACCACTTGTGGACTTCAACTCCCAGAATTCCTCTGGTAGCATGGACCGCTTGTGGACTTCAATTCCCAGAATTCCTCTGGTAGCATGGACCGTTTGTGGACTTCAACTCCCAGGATTCCTCTGCTGGTGGATGGGAATTCTGGGAGTTGTAGTCCACAGACTTAAAGTTGCCAAGTTTAGAGACCTCTGTTCTCGAAGAAAGGCAGATTACAAAACCCATAAAATGTGGGTCCTCTTGACAAGATTTTGGAATTACTTCTCCTTCTTTCTAGGGCTGAGAGAGAGAGAGAGAGGGACCGACCCAAAGTCAGCCTGCTGAATTCCTGCCTAAGGTAGAACTCGAACTCAGGACCTCCTGGTTTCTAGCCAGGTGCCTTAACTACTACATCCAACTGGCTCTCATAAAGCTAATAAGCAATCGAAGAAAACAGCTTTAGAAAAACCAGAGAGACCTTCAACCTAGATCCGTGATGGTGAATCTATGGCAAGTGTCACGTGCCAGAGGTGGCACGCAAAGTCCTCTCTGTGGGCATGCGCGCCATTGCCAGCTGCTTTCTGGTTTCCGGCACCAGCTGGTCTTCGCGGGCGCCGAAAACAGCCTGAAAAGGGCCAAAACCAGCCTTTTTTGGAGCCATTTTCCAGGCTGTTTTTGGGCCGTTTTCAGGCTGTTTTCCAGCCGTTTTGCCCTGAAAATGAACAAAAAAGAGGCATGCTTGCGCCGGCCAGCTGGTGTTTGGGTTTCTGGTGTCACCATGTGCACATGCCCACGTATTCCAGTTTGGGCACTTGGTGCCGAAAAAGTTTGCTATCACTGACCGAGATTAACAAAACACAATGGCTGTGTGTCTTTGTAGAACGTGCTCCATCTCAGCAAAGAAATCATATTAAAGCTTCGGGTTAGGGCCTGATGCACACGGAGAAATTACGAATTCTCCATCGCATTCCGGCTTAGTCCGGCCTGCGTGACATGATCTGAATCCAAGGTGAGGTGCGGAGAGGAAGGGGTTGGAATCCAGACGAGGAAGAGAGATCAAAAGGAAGGCACCTTCGGAGCTCCCGGAGGAAATACAAGATAGAACTTCACATATAAATAAGTACAAACAAGCAGCGTGGAATCCCGAAAGGAAAGACAATAATCAATATTTGCAGACAATAAAACAACCCTGGCGAAGCTCTTAAGGAGCATTTCGGTGTGATTGCCCGGGCATTGTTCAGTGAGAAGTCAGGCGCAATGTTGATATTAAAACATTGTTCCCCACTCAACCAAGAGCCTTGGTAGTACAGTGGTTTAAAGCACCCTGTTATTCACATCCAGCTGCCTGCAATTACTGCATGTTCGAATCTCTTCAAGGTTCAAGGTTGACTCAGCCTTCCATCCTTTCTAAGGTAGGTAAATTGAGGACCCAGTTTGTGGGGGCAATAAGCTGACTTTGTATAAAATATACAAAAGGATGAAGGCTATTGCTTAACGCATTGTAAGCCGCCCTGAGTCTCCGGAGAAGGGCGGCATATAAATCAAATTTAAAAAAAAAAAAACTGGGCAGAAGAGCAGGGAAGGAGCTGGGGAAAAGAGCCAGCCCCACAGATTGAAGATCCCAGAGCAGTGTTTTGTAATCTTGGCAAGTTTAAGATGTGTGGACTTCAACTCCCAGAATTCCCCAGCCAGCCATGCTGTTTTCTTCTGGGGTGTTTTTTTTTCAGTAGTCTTGGTTAACGGATGCCTAGGAACTCCTGGTGGTGTCCTATCCACACCCCAAACAGTCCTGAAGTTGCTAATGTTAAAGTGGCATTTTCTCAACTTCGGCAGGTTTAGGATGTGTGGACTTCAACTCCCAGAATTCCCTAGCTCAGCATGCTGGCTAAAGAATTCTGGGAGTTGAAGTCCACAGAATCTTATTTATTTAATTATTAGTTCAATTTATATGCCGCCCTTCTCCAAAGACTCACTTATAGCAATAGCCTTCATACTTTTGTATATACCAGCTTATTACGGCTTTTGGCCCCCCATAAGCAGTGTTTGTACAAAATCAGCTTATTGCCCCCACAATCCGGGTCCTCAATTTACTTACCTCGGAAGGATGGAAGGCTGAGTCAACCTTGAGCCTGGTGAGATTTGAACTCGCACTAATTGCAGGCAGCTGGCAGCTAAGTGCTACATAACAACACTTAGTCCGCGGCACCACCAAGGCTCTTAAATTTGCCCAAGTTGAGAAACAGTACTATGCAGGTAAGTCCTTGACTTGCGACCACAATTGAGCCCAGAATTTATGTTGCTAAGTGAGAAATTTGTTAAGCGAGTTTTTATTTATTTTATTTATTTATTTTTATTTTTCAAATTTCTATACCGCCCTTCTCCTTTCGGACTCAGGGCGGTGAACAGCCAAAGTAAAACAGTCGTATTTTATGACTTCCCTTGCCACATTTGTTAAGTGAATCACTGCACTTGTTAAATTAGTATCACGGTTGTTAAGCGAATCTGGATTCCCCATGTCAAAAGTCCGCAAAAGGGGATCACGTGATCCCAGGGACGCTGCAACCGTCATAAATATGAATCAGTCGCCAAGTGTCTGAATTTTGATCATGCGAC